AATGTTTCGACGCGATGTGGCCGTAAGCCCAAACAGTTTAGTGATACAAGTCTTAACCATTACACCACGCGCATGCACAAGCTTACAGCACCTGGTATTCCCAAACGGCCACCCATCTAGGTACTAACCAGGCTTGATGTTGCTTAACTTCGGTGATCGTAGGGGAACCGGTGTTTCATCGTGATGTGGCCGTAAAAAAAATCTTCTGGTGAACTCCATTCTTTAATTCCATCAGTACCGACCTAAAACGCTCCATGCTACTTGCACGGAATCAATCATTCTCATTCCCTTCGTTTTCCCAAATTCCTTTCGTTTTCCAAATTTAAAGCGAAAAGTTTCTCTCAGACAACTTTCTCCCAAGAACTGCTACTCCCACGTGCATGCTTCCCAAAACACTACGTTCTTAACTCCTTCAAGTCAATGGCTAATCATTATCTATGCTCCTTATCCTCGTAATACTGACTTCCTACCACCTCCTCTTTCATTCACATACATCATCCATCATAACCCTCTACCTCTAACAACACTAACCCACTTAATATAAAAAGTGCAGAAAAGTATTGGAGTGTTTCTTGTATTAGAGTTATCCTCTAATCTGCTTTCATTTTACACTGTTAATGTCACTGATTTTATTTATTTTATTGCATTTTGTCTGGGTTCCTAAGTTCATCTACGAGAATCAGTAAAGAGATCATTAATAGTAAGCTAATCTCATGAACTATTTTCTAAGGTTGTAAAGTCTGTACTTGCTGAGTGTTCAACCCTTGTAACCAGGTGAGACTTACTACTGAGAGTAGTAATATATGTGACGATCTCTTCAACATTGCCCCATGAGACAAATCCACTATATTACAAAAATAGTTCAGATTACCTAGGTCTGACTCCATATACCAAAGTACCGATATAGTTCATATCCCTATAATGCACTTTGGCGTCAGAGCATTTTCACGGTACCAGCACAAAAGACCTTCAGACTTTTAAATGACTTTTGAGTGCAAATGTGTGATGTATGCCTGATTTTTACTAATGTCTCCAAATGATAACTTTTGTCATTTGATTAACACAATTACTCTCTTCCAAATAAAATTCAAATAGGAAGGAGGCGGAAAAATCCGATTTTTATGCAAATTTTTGTTATTACAAATAGTTATTGAAATAGTTTTTATATTTTCCAAACTTTTACACGAGAGTTGAAGTCAAGGTTAGGGGTACCGTGAGAAACAGTGATAAATAGACTAATGAGTTTTTGAGTAATTTTTCTAGTCGTAATTTTACTTTGCACGTACAGCATATTGTTGGAAAATCCTTGGTTATTAGAAAGGCTGCAAGATTATATTAAGCAATGTATTTAGCGACGTATATATGGCGTTTTTATGAAATATTTATGCAGGTGTTCCCTGATACATGAAAACTATTTCAAGGGTTTCATAAGGGTAAAAAGGCCGAGAAACACGGGTGTAGAGGATTAACGTGTTGTTTAAAACAGGATTGAATTCACGACAGTTAGGCAAGCTGTTGTGAATTCAATCCTTCGGTCTGGTAGTGTTAAAAAGTCATATGTAAAAATTTAATTCCCTACAAAAACCTAAATTTTTGTGCTAATATAAAAATTTATTTAGTAGGGAGGCAGCGGCTCGGATTGAGGAATCCTAGAGCCGAGTTCGAATTTCTGTTGAATCTATTACATTCACTTACGTGCTAATACCCTTGGGAAAGGTATGAATCCTCTTCTCTCCTCCAGCTATGGGTAAATAGCAGGAGAGACCGGGTTGCCTTGGATGGCAACTGGTCTACCGCAGAAAAAAATGAGGGAAAAGATCTGCCTCTTCAGTCACGCATGTCACATAACTGACTGAGAGAGAGAGAATGGGAAAAGGACACGCGTCTCTCTTATCGCTAAAGTTGAATAGGGTGTAAAACAATCAAAACTCAACCACTACGCGGAATTTAAAACAACAAGCATTTATTACAGTACACAAAAGGGAAAAAACTGTACAATATTTACAAACAAGAGAATTTACTTTTCTGCACATTACACAAAAACTAAGGTTGGATAACAATCAAATACTTTGAAACTTTGAATACGTTGAGACTTTTGAAAATGAAAAATAACAAACTTTGAGAAAGCAAAAAGTTAGACAATTTTATTTTAAAAAACATACAAAAAACGGACCCACCTAATTTGTACGACGGAATAAGAATGCCTCAGTACAAAGAATTTTTTTCTGGTTGGTGTCACGGGGACTTTTAAAGTTTTTCCTTTAATGAAAAGTTCAATTTCAGTTTTTAGTTTCGTTGAAATTCTTCTCCGGAAGCAGCGGGAATGGATTACCTTCATGGGACTTGTAAGAACCTTCTGGTTGAGATTTGCTATCGGCACGTCTTACTTTTTCCGTAGTGGTTTATGGCTCCTTTTGCTTTGACACTTCCTTATCCCTTGAATTGTGGGACTTTCTGCCTTGACGTCTGAATTAACTTATCCGCTGACCTGCCTACTTTTATGAGAAAAAGTAGGCTCCCAAAGAACTTAATTCCAAATTTTACAAGGTCTCTGATTGGTCAGTAAATGCAATAAAATATATCCCTTTCACAAATTCAAAAAACGACTACGCACCTGTTATATTAAGCGTTTAGTAGAGAGAGAAAGCAATAACGTGGATTAAATTTTGAACAACGTTTATTGTTGATAGGTCGTACAGAGACGTTGAAGGATGTGTGGAATGTCCGTTTCAGTGGCTGATCGTCAGGATGGCGGTCGGGTGTAAGGGCAGCGCCGGAAGTTGACCTAATTCTTGTGTGGGTTTAGTGTGAGGTTATAGAATACGGTTGGTGCTCGTGTTGATTGATCGAGGTTACGGTAGTATATCGTACAGATATGTCGAAGCTAGATGAAATATCAGCTTCAGTGTGCGATCGTCAGAATAGCGATCTGATTTAAGAGTAGAGCCCAGGATTGACCTATTTCTTGTGCTGGCCTGGCCGAGGTCACAGAATATGGTCGGTGGACGTTTATGTGGAAGTCACGGTGGTAGGTCGTTTTCGTTGGTTGGTAGACCTGTTATGTTGAACCTGTGTGACGTCGGATTAATGTTGTTTTGGTAGACCTGTGCTGACTGCGAAGGGAATACCCTCTAAACGAGTCAAGATAGGCCGAGGTGACGGCAGGGGTTGGTAGGCCTGTTTTATGGAACGGAGGTCGTGGTGTCGACTGTGAATGGAAAGCGTCGTCAACAATGAAGGCTTGTGTCTGGGTGGTGTTGCGGCTGGAGGAGTTGAGATAGTCGAAGCTGGATAGCTGATGTGGGTGGTCAAGCTTGGGAGTGGTAACGGTCGTTGAGAGATGCAGTCATGTTTAGTGGTGGCGATGAAGGCAACAGTAGCAGTAGTGTCTTGCGTGACGGCCGGGCGGGCCGCAACTCTGATGGTTGTTCTCAAGGGCATCTCTTTTCCGGGAGGAACGTTCGCGATTGGCCACTGTCGGAGCTGACTTCGTAGACCGGATGTGATGCGTGGAGCCTAATGCGCAGAAAACGATTGTTGTTATTTTGTTCTCTGCTTTTGTGGCGCTCACATCCGGCCAGCATGCAGAATGGACCAGAAAGAAATTTGATTGTGACGGAGTATAACACAACACTTCACAAAGAAATAATTTTGGCGGTTCTTTAACTGCTAATTCTAAAAAATAGTTTTCCACACAACGCTGACAATTTTTTTCCGAACCGTCTAACTTTCTTAAAAATACACTTTTCTCAAAAGAACATGTAAAAAACAACCTAGATGATTAAAACATTTATTTATTACACCTTTTTAACTAAAGTCTAAAGACTAACGTAATTTTACAGTAAAAATAATACAAAATCTTTATACATATGCTCTGGTTCAGTGGAAGAAACAGACAAGCGATGCAAAAAAAAAAAAGAAAAAAAAAGTAAGATCTAAGTTATCTCCCCTAAGCATGAAGTGTGAGAACAATCTACTCTAGTCGATTGGATAAGAACGGTTCGGTTCAAAATTTCGCGATGGTTAACGAATACGATAACAGATACCTAAAGCAGGTTAGAAAGTATAGCAACCAAAGAGTGCATGAAGGTCTGAATAGAAATGCATATAAATACCAATCTAAAAAATTATCAGGTCGTCAGTGTGGAAGTGCGAATGATCGAACGGGTAAAAAAAAAAGAGCGAAAATGAATAGAGCCCACTTCGCACAGGAAAGAAGTTTAATTAATCCATCTCTCCTACACACCTCCACTTGTTATGAGTAAAATATCAGAGCGGACTGAATTGAAACCAGTTGGGTATGTGGTTAACGCGCTACTAAAACCTATTAGTATTTATTTACTAATGAAACCGCAACAGCATCACCTTGCGTGGTATTTTAGCGTGTCCCACAAAAAAAGCAATGTAGCGATAAGGAGGCACGGTGGAGTAATAGCTCGGATTGAGGAATTGGAAAGCCGATTTCAAATTCCAGTCGAATCCATTTACATTCACTTATGTTGGGAAAGGTATGAATCCTCTTCTTCTCCCCCGAGCTATAGGTAAATATCAGGACAGATCGGGTTCTATAGCCTTGGATGGCAACTGGTCTACTGCAGAGAGAAATGTCAAATTACTGTGAGAAAAGAATCTGCCTCGTCAGTTATTTATCGAAAAATACATGATCGCCTAAGCGTGTATCACGCATGGCACATAACTGAGTGATAACTATAAACAAATTATTAGGTTGTCTCCCTTAGATTGATATCGCACAATAAGCGTTAATCATTTTTTTAATTAATACAATAAAAATGATTAACGCGTTTATCAATAATTAATAGTAGTAGTTATAGATAAACCATTTTTTTTATAGATCCTGTAAGTAACTCTTATAAATTGCTGATTGAAAAACAAATGTTTGGAAAGTATTTATTTATTGAAATACGAAAATAATTGCTACTAGCTCCAATCGCTTTTAGAAAGAATGGCTGGGTTAAAAAAATAATTGACTGGAATAACAGCGTAGTCAGGTAAGTTTACCAGTCGCCAGATATTCGTCTACTTGCTTCTTCGCCTGTTTGGTTCTCTGTTACTGAGTTAAGTTTCCTGAATATAAACCTTTACTCTTTTAACTGCATATTCCCATTTGAATCGTTACTTAATAACTTGGCAAAGTTGTCGTGTGCTTGCTCTTTCTCCAAGCCTTCCAAGGGCATTTTTTTTTTTTTTACTCCACTTGATGGTTTTCTAAGTTTCAGTTTAGTACCTAGTTTTCTATTACGATTTAAAAATGCAATACTGATATTAACTGAAAATTTTATGTAAATTTAAAGACCCGTTTGAATTGACCCTCGCAGTAGTTTAAAAACTAAAAACTGAGCTCTTAGAACAAAAAGAAGAGTGAGTGAAAGCACCTGTTAGTTAGTCTCACCATTATTAACTTAAGCTAAAAGACTTCAACTACTGAGCTGACTCGAAAATTAAGTTTAATTCTCACCTACGAGGAGGTGCTGAAAAGCTCTCGTCCCAACCCAGTTCCCCCAACCAAATCTGGCCAAATATTAGATTTCTTTAAAAAACATTTTTGTGCGTGCAGTGATTATAATTTCAAGTATAAATTTTTAACTGTTTTATTAAAAATTGACGTTCGAGTAACATAACTCATTTTTAAAGTCAATCTCCGTTAGAAGTTAAAGTACTGACACTAAAGTACGATACGCAGCTTCAAAACTTTTACTAAAATACAATTTTGAAGATGCGAAAATGTAAAAAAAAATAAGTTAGTGACTAAAAATATTCAAAACAAACGTAATTGTTTGAATCCTAATTCTAATTTTTCTTTTAATAAATCGGTTCTTCATAGGCATATTCATCGTGCAAAGCAATGACATCGATAATATGTACATAAATAAATTAAGTAAAAAAACAATGAATGTCAGGACCTAATTCCATCCAATGCCCGGATTTAGACTTAGTGGAATCCGGGGTTGGTAACTTTTTTCTTTTGCTAAAGCTACTTTATATATAAGGCTAAAATCTGCTAAATTTTGTTTATTGCCAATAAAGTCCAATTATAAAATAAGACTCCAGAACAAATTGTTGAATTTTTAACCAAATTCTTTATTCAATCAAAAATTTTACTTAAAATTTGGTTAACTGGCACTAGACTGGTCCACGTGGTTTTTTTTGGTTTTTTTTTTTTTTAAAACAAAAAAAAAAGTAGGAAAAATATTTTCAGAGAATAATTTTTGTATTCCTTTGGTAAGGAGGAAGTTCAACTCTGCTTCTTCCCCAGAACTGTAATTTTGTGGAACAGACTCCTGAGAAGATGCTTCCCAAACCATTACAATTTTAACCTCTTCAACTGATATGTATTCTACACATAGTCATAATATGAACCTCTTCCTCCTTTATTGCATTCAGTAATCTGTTTATGGGTTATGCAAGAAAAATAATGGTTAACACTAGACTTGAAGAGGTCAAGGTTGTAGTGATTGAGAAAACACCCTGTCGGGAATCTCTTCCACAAAGTATCAGTTCTTGGGAAGAAACTATCTAAATGGAACTTAGTTTTTACTATAGAAATACAAGAGTATGGGGATGATTTACACTTATGTACATGGTATGGTTGTAAAGGTCAGGGTGGTGGTGGGACTAAAGAATGTAGCTTTTCAAAACACATGTCATGGAAAGAGGGATAGAACAGTGAGATCCTTGCAACATTTTGTATGTGGGGAAAGGGGTTGTAGAGTGGAAAATAATTCATCACCCACAAGGGACGCATAGCTACTTCTGAAATCTATCAAGACAGGCAAGTGAGGACTGTGCATCTCCAGCCCAGATATAGCAACAATGCTCCATTTTGGGATCTGATCTGGTTCTTGTATAGTGGTGGGGTCAGATACTTACTTGAGTTGTACAATGAACCAACCATTTTTCCAGCATCTTTAAACAATAGATTGGATAAAAGAGTTCTACTTGAGGTCTTGGGAGACATTTAAGACAAGGAGTCTCCTTGAGAGAACATCCATCCATTATGATAGGTCTGCTCACTGGTGGTGGAACTTTACTAGTTTGGTTTTAGGGAATTATCTGATTCAAAACTTTTCAATGTCTCCTGTGTAGTCTTTAAGGAGTGGGAAGGATCAATTTTTTTTTTTTTTTACATAAAGAAAATTCCATGAAGATGTCATTTTTAGTAAAAACATTTATGCAATATAAAGTATATATTGATCCTGGGCCTTACCAAAAACAATTTGATAAAAACTCAAAAAAATACATTTTTCTGAGAGTTGGCACTTGCATAATTTAATAAATAAATTTTAACTGAAACTTTAAGAATACTGGAGTCAGACATTAATTTTTGTAGTAATCTTATTTTACTAATCTGGAAAGTAAATATCCAATTTGTAACCAGATATTTATCAATGCAATAGGACATGAATAAAGTGTTTGGTTCAAAATTCAACAATTTTTTCTGGTGTCTTATTTTATAATTTCTTTTTTTTATTTTCTTCACAGAATGTTCAGAAAGTCTGGCTATAAATGAACAAGAATGTATTAGGCAAACTCATAAATTACTTGAAATAAATTTCTTACTATAAGAGCTGTTCCATACACATTCACTTTTCAACTAGAATAAAATTTGAGTTGAATAGTCAATGAGTCTTTTCATTAAATTCTCTTTCACAACTATAATTTTAAAGCACTTATCTCCCAAAAGCAACACTGTTATTCTTAATTTCTTTTCATTATATACACTAAAACATAACTTTCCCGTTTGTCACCATATTAACAAATAGACTAACTTTTTAAGATCTTGAAGCTCTACCAATTCCTCTAACAAGTTGATTTTCATAACTTTTTTTTCTGTTTCTTCGTAGTGATCACTAAAGATCAAGTGACTACAAGCTTCCAAAAACCTCTCCAGTATTGTTACCAACTACTACAGCCCTGTAATATGTACCATTTTCAATTCTTGCTCAAATCTTTATTCTTTGTGAAGGACCTTTCAGCTATTCTTCCTCTTCATTCTATTACTGCTATTATTATTGGATTATTGATATGTCGACAATCTTTAAACTTTATCTCCACAAAAAACTGTCAAAAGGAGGGTTTTTCCCTTGACACCACTATTATTTTAACTACCTTCACTATATGGCTATGCAACTATATGGCTAATCTCTCAATTAGTATGCCTAGTGTGTACATTAAAAGATATGCATTAATTGAAAACACATTAATCAATATAATAGCTTATAGGATATGATGTAATTTGTACCTTAAATTTTAGTCTCATTTACAGTTAATTTCTAATTTACATACTTTTTAATTAAAACATAGGTACATATAAAAATATACAATAAAAATGCTATGAATTAAATGTTTATTAATCTGATTTTTTATGAAAAACTTATTTAGAGCAGTTTGCTGCATGGTACTCTGTTCTTCATATAGTTGGCAGTACTGAGAAATTCCCTCTTCAAATTTACCAAACATATAATCATTAGTATTTGAACCAGAAAGTTTTATTTATAATTTTTCCATATTAAATGCATACATCTTTTATATTTCAATATTTTTTAATAAATATAATTTTCTGTATGTAATTAAATCCTCCATTCTTTTTTTTTTTTTTAAACAAAGAAAAAAAAAAAAATCAAATTTCCTTTTTAAAACCTTCAAAATAAGCATGAAAAAAATCAATGTTCAAAAAATTTTAATAGGGACAAATATTCAAATATGTATTTTTATTATCTGCTTATATTATAAAATTTATCTATAACTATCCATTTTTAAAATTTTTTTAATACTAATGTAATTACTTAGATAATGTAATAATTGGGAAACAAAATAGCTATTTTCCATTTTTAAATTTTAGAAAACTATAAAAAAAATCAATTTTCAATTACTCTGGTTGAACTGAAGAATATTTTACCTCACTAATTGAGTATTATGTATGCACTAATTGAATTTCGGCATATAGAAATTTTAGCACACTAATTGAAAATGCATTAACCAAATGCACATTAATCAAGGGATTCCTGTATTTTATATATATTAGTAACATAGAAAATTCTGATGGTAAGTAAAAACAATAATCCCAGTTGTATTTTAGCATCTGAGCGCAGTATATTTGAACAAATTGTTTTGTTTTGTCATTAGTGTACAATGATTGTACTAAATCATCACCACTCTACTTTAACCATTTTGTTTTTGCATTAAAAAAAATAATGATTTAAACAGCAATTATTCACTTAAAATTCATTCTAGCAATTTTTTTATGTTTAAATGATGTTGAGAATGGATAATCAAGTGGGAGGAAAGTGAATCTTAGAAATTAAAGCAAGTGACAGAATAAGAACAACAAGATAACTTTTAAAGACTGAAAAAAATAAACAAACAATACTTGAAAATGCTCCACTGTAAGGTAACAAGTTGTATTGTGGAAGGAAGTCAAATGTATTACTCCTATCTACAATGAAGTGCTAAAAATTTCTACACCCAACCTACTTACCAAATTCTGACTAAATGACCAAACATCATTTTGTTTTTTTTTGTTTCTTGATTGGGCTGAAAACTTTTCAGCAACACCTTAATACACCTATGGATATAGTTAATATTTACTGAAAAAAAAAAAAAATTTTTTTTTTTTTTTAATCAATTCACCCCAAGCAAGGTGATAACACAAGTGGCTACTGAGAGTCAAACGAGAATGAAAAGACTTTAGAAAGTACCAGAAACCCAATCTTAAACAGGTAACAAGAAATAAACCTCTACTCTGTTCAAAAGACATTATCATTTATGAAAATCCTATTAGATGATATGAAACAAGAAGAGAAAGTTAAACCTGTCTCTGGAAAAGCAAAAACCTTTTGTAATATAATCCGTCATATCACTTAAGTGCACATCATGCTGATGCAGTTTTGACCATGAAATGTATATATAAAGCAAACAGTAAACATTATCAAGGAGAGTGAGAGTATTTTGTGTAGAGAATTCTTGCACAGTCATATGACCCAGCCTTTTAAGCACCAAGCACTTCAGCACAAATGTCTGAAAAGAGTATGATAACCCACAATGTTGGAAATGGTCATCTTATTATAAAACGCAGATTGTGTGTGTGTCTGTACGTTTATATATTGGATCGGATTTCCTACATTTTTCAACAAAACTTCACAGGACTATGTAAAATTACCTTGCGGTGGTTCTGACAGCGCCAAAAATTAGAAAAACAATTGTTTTTGCACAAAATCAATTTGAAAACACGATTAAGAGGCATCACTCGCCAGAATGAAAGGGGGACAACTCATATCAAGTTATACTTATTATAAAACCCAGGTTGTGTGTGAGTGTGTGTTCATTTATAGATGGGATCGGATTTCCTACATTTTTCAACCAATTTTAACAAAACTTCACTTTTTTTTTTCTTTTTTTTTTGGCAGGTAGTGTTTCTTATTTTCTTGCACACTTTTTTCTTTATTTTTACATTCAGAATGCTTTAAAAATTCCATTTACATGACAATTGTTTATAATAAAATTCTATTCAATCGGTAGACTCATAACAATTGAAAACAATGTTTTTGTTTGAGTTTGACCAATTTGTAAAAAAACCCCAAAAAACAAAACAAAAAAAAAAAAACTAATTAAGACATGCGTGTCCGTCAACCTAAAACAATAATCTTCGTCAATTTTATTTTTCAGTCTTTATGACGGTGGATACTTGATCTATCTCTTACTGTTACATCCCCAAGCAACTGCTAGTATCATTTAAAATAAAAAAAATCTTTAGTATTTCATTTTTGAGATGAGTAATTGTCAGTATTCTTGTATTATTTTGAACTATTGTTCTCATTTTGGGTGAGAGATGTTATTATAGACACAATGTTTTGACCAAGTACCCTTTGGTCATCATCAAGTATCCATTGATTGGCTGATGGGAGAATATCTATTCATTATATATGATATCATATTGGCCCATGTTCAAAATAATACAAGAAAAAAAAATCTAAAAGCAAGCAAAGTAAACAAACACTAATTCTATTAAAAGCCAAATTTTGTAAAAAAAGAAAATAGACAATATTTTGTATATATTAGAATTGTAAGGTGATTATTTCCTTTGACTTCTGAGAAAGAATTGATTGATTCAAACAAGTTTTGCTTCCAATTAAACCAACTGAAGACAACAATCAATGAAACTAGTCTAATTAACTAAGAAGAAGCATCATATTCAATCAATTTAATGCTAGGCCATATATTTCTTGATTGAGCAAAGAAAATGCTACACCTTAGATGGGAAGTTTCATTTTATCTGCTGTCTCGACCAAATTTTCTGCTTTTGAATTACCATTTATTCAGTTTTTGCAAAATTCTTTTAATTAAAAAAAAAAAATTCCTTATTGCAAAAGGCACTTAGATTACCAATGTTTTGCTGTGAACGTTAAACTCTGGGACAATGGAATTTCACTATCTCACATTATTAATCTTTCATAATTTTTAGAAAACTTTTATACTACTCACTTGTTGAAAAATAGTCAAAGTACCATAATAAAATAGCAGATTTCTACAAATATTTCCATTTTATATTATCAATTTAATAAAAGAAATTTATTGAAATTGGGTTGTGATTTTTTCAGTAGTTTGCAATCCAATTTTGAGGTTACAATAAGATTTTGTCATTTGTTTCTTTTTTATATAAAAAGAAAATCTCTTAGATTGCTGATTATTTTCCTGATGATCCAACATTGAATTATGATTGGGCTTGAAATTTATTAAATACTAGCAGTAGAGCCCAGCGTTGCCCGGGGATGTAACAGTAAGAGATAGATCAAATATCGACCATCATAAAGACTGAAAAATAAAATTGACAAAGATTATTGTTTAAGGTTGACGGACACGCATGTCTTAATTAGTTTGTTTTTTTTTTTTTATTTAATTGGTCAAACCTAAACTCAAACAAAAACATTGTTTTCAATTGTTATGAGTCTACCGATTGAATAGAATTTTATTATAAACAATTGTCATGTAAATGGAATTTTTAAAGCATTCTGAATGTAAAAATGAAGAAAAAAGTGTGCAAGACAATAAGAAACACTACCTGCAAAAAAAAAAAAAAAAAAAAGTGGGTTTTGTTGAAATCGGTTGAAAAATGTAGGAAATTCGATCCCATATATAAACGAACACACACACACACACACAACAACCTGGGTTTTATAAGTATAACTTGATATGAGTTGTCCCCCTTTCATTCTGGCGACAGAATCGTGTTTTCAAATTGATTTTGTGCAAAAACAAATGTTTTTCCAATTTTTGGCGCTATCAGAACCACCGAAGGTAATTTTACGCAGTCCTGTTAAGTTTTGTAAAAATCGGTTGAAAAATGTAGGAAATCCGATCCAATATATAAACGTACAGACACACACACACACAATCTGCGTTTTATAATAAGTAAGATCATAGAAATTATGTTAAAAAGCTCAAAATGAACCAATCCAATCTTAAAAAAATCTATTGAAAACCTTGGCAATAACTGAATTTTTAAGTCTCCAATATACAAAACTGAGTAAAAGCACAAATTTGCTACCTTTCATTACCTTTAAATTTAGTGAATCTGAATTCTCAATTTTTCACACTTATTGACAGGAAAATTCAACCTCTACTGCCAAACTACTAATGTCTACCTTTGATATCATGGACCAACATAAGATAGAAGACATTTCTTTCAAAGCTACTCTTGAATGCAATACTGTTATAAGTATTAATTGAATTTAATTTTTTTAAATTGTACATTTGTCACTGCACTTTTTTTTTTTTTTGAAGCCACCAGTTGGTAGAAAATTAAGAAAAATAGCAAAAGGTAATTTTTTTTTACTTACCTTTTTTAAATAAAAAAAAAAAACAAATATGAATTTTGCTTTAAATATAAAACAACTTAATTTATATGTATATTATACAAGAAAGGTAATTATGTAATCCTTGTCATCATTTTTAACCAAAAAATGAAAATAACTAAGATTTATTGTTAGTCATCAATATTTCATGAGCATGTGCTTGATTTTGTTAAGAGTAATATTCTGATGATGATATAATTCAGCCAAACTTAATTATATTTTCTTTTTCACCACAAATTCCTTAAGTCTTTCATTTTCAGTTTCCACCCTCTTCTGTCAAGTATACAACATAAATGGATAGAAATCCATTTATTATTGAATAGTAAAACATTCCAACAGGCTAAACAAAACTTTTAAAAAAGAATAAATGGGATTAAACATCTATCAGTCTTTCAGTTTTGTGCTTTTCTAACTTTGTTTTTCTGAAAATATTTAAAAACTTTTAGGTGCATGTGAAGCCAAAATAGAAAATCTAGTCCCAAACAATTGTCTATATTAGGCCCACTATTTCATTGGTTCATTTGTATATTAGCAATTTTTAAACTGTAGCACTTGTCAGGAAAAAAAAATGATCGTTTATCAATATAGAAGGGGGATGTTTATATCAAGTGTCAAATTGATCCCTGACTGTTACAGAGTTATTATACTTAGGAGCTTTGCATACAAAAACTTTTTTTGAGATAGGAGTTACAAAAAGATTTCTTTTAAATAACAAATGATATACATTTTTAAGTAAAGAACAAAAATTTATATAAATAAAATGATGTATACGTTTAAGATAATTATTAACCTCAAATGTTTTGTGCTTCTGAAAAAAATCCTATACAAAAAAAAAAAAAAAAAAAATTAAATATTTTATAAATTCAGAAAACCTGAAAAATATGCAGATATCAATAATTTTAGCACATTTTCAAACTTGACATTTGTAAATACCGACCGACTTAGCCTAAGGGCGATAACTCTTCCAAATCATTGATCGTTTTAATACAGTATAAACAGTGGGCCATAAATTTTTAGCACTCTTGATTACAGCAATTTTGGCTTGTGTAATAATCCCCCACCCCCCACCAGACAATACCGTGTCAGTATCAAGCTACTCTCATCTATGAACGATAGTTCACTTATATTTTGCAATGAATGTTCGTAGAAATTGGTGAATTCCAACAAGGGCAAATAATAGGATGGCATCAGTGTGGCAAGTCAAATAGAGAAATTACTAGGTTTATCCAGGTTAATCATCAAACGGTTAATAATATTGTCAAGAAATTTAACGAACAAGGCCATTGTCATGTGGAACAAAGTTCAGGTAGACCAAGCATCATGCCTGATCAAATGAAAAGGACATTGAAGAAACTGTCGTCAGAGATGACACCAACAGCATGAAAATGTTGCTATATGCAGTGAGAAATACTTTAAAAGAGCTAGGCTATTAAAGAAGGCTGAATTTGGTCAGATGAAAGTAAATTTTGACAATATTTGAATTCGAGACAGGTTTATGTTTGGAGAAATCAGAATGAGACTTGAAACACTGAATGTCTGCAGGCAACCGTGAAACATGGCAGGATTGGAGTAATGGTGTGGGGCGCTGTCTAGTTTGGAAGGAAATCTGAGCTGATTCTTGTTGATGAGTGGTTGAATAGTCCAAAATACTGTCAAATATTAGAGAAAAGACTACTCTGACTATTTGAAACTAATCAGACAAGAATTTCTACCTTTTTCGAGAAGATGGACTGTCATGTCATGAGCAAAGTAGCAAAGGCCTGGAAGGAATCAAGTCATTGCCATGGGAAGCCCAAATACCTGACATGAATCCAATAGAACATGTTTTGGAGCACCTTGACCAAAAAACTTCGAGAGTGTGCAACCAAAATCATGTCAGTGGCAACCCTTAAAGAAACCTTGCTAAAGGAGAGGCAAAATATGGATCAGACGATTGTTGATAACTTGATCAAATCCATGAAAAATCAAATACAAGCACCAAAACTAGCAAATGGAGGACCTACTCTATACTAGTTCCAAATACTGTTTGTTTATGTTGAATAGGAATTACATAATTTTGAAATTAGATGTAGTTTATTTTACCGGGCTAAAATCTTAGGCCACTGAATATCAGAGACCCCCCACCCAAAAAAAAACTTCTCTATTGATAACAAATATTTTCTTGATTTTGACAAGTATTATTAGTCTAAAGAATGCTAATTCACAAATTTTTCTCTATTTTTTTTTATGAGTCAGTCTATTTAAAGTAGGCCAATATTGATTACCAATTTTTTTTTTTCTAAGTTACTTTTAAATTTACAATAGTTTGCCCAGAATGTTTTTTTTTTCCCCCCTACTTTTTAAGAACTCTAGTGAAATTTCAAAATCTCAAACATTTTAGGTTATTTATAAATGTCGTTTTCATTTACTTCATATGTTCAACTTGCATGTTTTTCACCCCCTTTTTTTTTTTTTTTGCTAGGATTTTTGTGCTGCTTTGATTATTGGAGAAATGTGCTAACAACGCAGTTCAACTACCAATAGAATGTCACATAGCCAACTGCAACAGCAAGTTCTTTCATTGTACCGTCAACTTCTTCGAGTAACAAAACACAAACCTGGATTTAATTCCTTTATCAGACATGAGTTCAAGAAGAATAAAGAGATACCAAAACGGGATATTCTGCATATTGAACATGCACTCCGAAGAGGTAAACAGAAATTGATCCTTTTTAAAAAGAAAGAAGTCCAAAGTTTAGGTGTTTTCACCAAAGATGAAAAAGACTCTACAAAATAAAAAATTAATAAGGAAAAAGTTTATTTAAAACACAAATGATGTTTGTCAGGGTTCTGAGACCATATTCTCGATGGTACCTCCGTCATCTTAGTAGTAATTCTGTGACTGATGGTGTGGCTGCCAGGGATCGCTTACCTCTGATACTTTCTCCTGCTAGTGAGGTGACCATGCCTACAGTGCTGGAAGGCTTCATCAAGAAAGTGTTACCATCTTTTCCTACTGGTATTCAATGTGCATATGCATATGGGTCTGGAGCTTTTCAACAACATGGAACAATAGACATTACTAAGAATATGCTGGATTTTATCTTTGTTGTTGATGACCCAGTACAATGGCATGCAGAAAATATTGAAATGAACAAGTCACATTACTCCTTCCTTAAATTTCTTAGTCCCCGTGGTGTTAATTATATCCAAAAACAATATGGTGCAGGGATTTACTTCAACACCCTTGTACCATTTGAAGGTCGCTTAATCAAATATGGAGTTATTAGTACTGACCGCTTAATAAATGACCTGCTTGACTGGGAGACATTGTACGTTAGTGGGCGACTCCATAAACCTGTGCTGACCCTTAAAGAACCAACAAACACAGATTTAAAAGTTGCTTTGCAGATTAATCTTCAAAGTGCAGTTCATGCATCTCTGATTCAACTTCCAGATACATTCAGTGAAGAGGAGCTCTATATATGTATTGCTGGTCTCTCCTACCTTGGAGATTTCCGTATGACTGTTGGAGAGGATCGGCACAAAGTGGTTAACATTGTCAAGCCAAACATTTCAAAGTTTCAAGCCCTTTACAAGAACATTCTAGACTCAGAAGAGCACTTATTCTTTAATGACATTAAAATGGTCTATGAACAGTATCCCAATCATATAGCACAGTATCACCATCTGAATTTGTTACCAAAGACTGTCCATATCAATCTTGTTGCATTAGGCAAGCAATCACATGCCATCCCAGACACTGAGGAAGTTATCCGAAACCTTGCCAACAACCCACACTGTGGTGACTATGTGGCTGATTCAATTGCACAGATTGTTAAGCGGTCCAGTTGGAGCCAATCTTTAAAAACTGCTTTTACAGCTGGATTTGTCAAATCTGTAAAATATAGTTTGAAGAAAATGAAGAAAATGATGAAAAGTTTACAAAAGTAGCTATGCAGTCTTCAATAAAAGGCATTCTCCTGACAAGAGGTGCATGTTCAAATCTTGCTGGCAGCTTGTTATTTCTGATTCCCACTGCTTACTGATGATTGTGAAATGGTGAGCGGAGAGTTGGAATAAAAATCAACAAAGATGAAGAACGCCCGTCAAAGATTAATAATTGACAATGCTTCATCTGAAACTTAGAGAAAGAATATTTAAATTACTGTTTAAAATGTGCACTCAGAAATAAAGAACATTTTCTTTGTTTCAGGTTAAATTTATTCTCTAATTTTGCTGAGAGTTGTGTTCATTCTTTAATGTTAAAGATTTGTTTATCTTATATATAAAATGGCTGAAAGTTTTATCTGAGAATTTTTCCTGTAATGCAACAGGTGGTGTTGATATGCATTATACTACTATATCCATTTTTGGAAACAGACCAATAGTTTACAGTTGCTGAAATTGCTGTCAATAAAGTAGTATAAAATATTTTCTTTTATATAATGTTAATTAAAAGCCTTCAACTTAATATTTTGCAGTCTATCAATGAAATGGCACTGGAATTCTTCCCATTAAGAAAAAATAATAAAATAATCCAAATTCATAATGAAGAATGAGTTCTATACAGTATTTCTGTTCTATCAGTGATTTAACTCTCAAATGGCAGAAGAAAAAAAATTGCACACCAAACAAGAAAATTCATTTTTTAAAGGGTAATTTTTATGTTTATATTTAAGTAACTCAAACTATGAAAATGATATTTTCATTATAAAAATGAAGAAAAAAAAGGAAATAAAACAAGTTAGGTTTCTAAATTTAATATTTTTTTAACAGTATGATATTCAATGTATTTTTTGTATTTTTGTTTTTTCCTCTTCTATTTGAGAAGTAGGTATACAAATCTTACCAGTTTCTGTCCATGCACAATGGAGTTGTGCATTCTTGCACCAAGGTGACATTTTGTTTTTTCCTCTTCTATTCAAGAAGTAGGTATACAGAGATTATCTTGTTCTTTCAGTTTTATTTGCAAGCAAATATTCTAGAAAATGAATGAATCCTAATAAATAGTAACCTCATGAATCCCAGAGTTGTCATTTAGATTCAAATTATGAATGAATCATCATTGATGATGCCTACTATTTAAGGATCAAGAAACTAAAGTAGAACAAGAATTAAACTATTGACCTGTTCGTATAAATTCAAAGGGAACTTGTGTAAATTACATTTCTATTACTATTTTTTCTTCTACACATTTAAATTTCAAAGAAACCATTCAGGAACATATCTCAGATTGGTCTTTTGTCTTCACAGTTTTTTCTCATTTTGGTGTAGATACTATTATCAGAGTATCATCTGTGGAATTTACTCAAAATGGTCTCATTTCTTCTGTGATAAATTTATTTGACTATCTCAGTAATGTAATGACTTAAAGCCTTAACAAAATGCATTTTCATTTAATGATACCCATTCTCCATTCAATGTTTTAAGTTTATCCAATCAGAATTGCAATCTATTATCACTTGTGACTCTCAGTAGGAGTTTGCGTTGTATTTACATATTGACATAGAATAAATAAATCTTGACCCAAATCTTACCATCAGCTTGGCTATAATTTTTTAGTTTTCACAGGCTCTGTTGGTGTAAGCTGGCTAACTAAATGACATCCTTTGCACGTACATACATTTCTGTCGGTTTCTAATCCTTGTCTTTGTCACATCACAAACTATGCATTATAGGCAAAATTATCACAAATCAGCAAATATCTTGTGCATTGTGGTTTCATTCATTCACCTATAAATTTTCTTTTACTTGGTATGTCATGGCTTTCTGAGTAACCCTTGTTGCCACAAATTGTACATATTCAACTACACATTCTGTCTTCTTCACTCTCCGACTTATTATTGACAATTATTTTTGTTCTGGCAGTATATACAACACAACAGATGGGTACTTTGGCTTTTACCCTATCTTGCACTTTTACAGGGTTCCCACAGATCTGTGTAAAAACAATTTCAGGTCTGTTAAGAATTTTCAAGGAATGAAGCTGACATGCACACATGCACAAAGTGAATGGTCATCAATTTCAAGAACACAAACTTTATGATTTATCTTTTAATAGATTGGTAGATGAGATGTTCAAAGGAAAGCTACAGCTGGTTTCAATAATTCATGTCACATTGATTTCTTCACTGCTTTCAACTGATTAAAGTGTTGAAGGTTAAAACACAACTGAATGCAGATCTGGTTATGAATTAGACTTTAATTCATAAATACTACACATTGCAGCTATCTAGACTATTTGTGGTTTATGAATGTCACAAAAATTCTTGACTACTGAAAATTTCCTGTAAAGTATAATGGTTTTAATGAATAGAACTACAAATAGAAAATTTCACAAAAAGACTACACATTTTAGCTACCCCTACTAGTCATGGTTTTTGTTGCACATGGCACAGAACACAATGATGTTACCATTTTTCAGTTTACCTAGTTTAGCATTCAGCTCCTCTTCCAATTTGGATATTGCCATGAATGTGTGCTTTGCAGATCTTTGCATGGCATTGAACTTATGCAAATCTTGTATGTTTTGGTCTTCAGTGCTTCAATTTCTATAAGCATGGATTTCCATTTTCATCCAGTTGCTTCTTTGTGCCTTTTTTTCTTCTCAGTCTCAAGATATTGGTTGTGTATGCTGATGTGACATTGGAATCACTGCAAAGAGTCTTAGTCATGGGAACATTCCCAGCACCTCCAAATGTGGCCAAACAGTCTCTGATAATGCACTGTGCAACCAGTTTGTGGTTATTGTCAATGGAAATTTCCTTATTGACTTTCTCCATTGAGGTCTGTCCATGAGAGAGTGCCAGCAATCTGTAAACAACTTTGACATTCTTTGTTGCTAGACAAAGAAGGGTAGAACAATGTGTCCAGACAGTCTTCATGCTTGCTGAAATTCTTGAAAGCAATATTTCCAGCAGAACTCTTTGTACTGACTGATGCTGTCATCACAATCTGACTTGTTTTCTGTCCATCAAGTGGGAATGACATCTTTTTAGACTGCCAGATGCAAGTGATGTTACAAGAGAGTATCTAAGGGGAGACTTTGCTAGAAGTTTCTCAGTGATGGTGATGAACATTGTCTTTGTCGCAATTCTGCATGCAAATAGATCTTTTGTTGAACCATTTCCTTTTTGGGATAAATTTTACATAGCCCTTTCTGCCAGAAATCCACACTCAATCTTTGCAGCATCTTTGGGTTTGACGAAATTCTTATAAATTTATTCAGTTTGGAAAATGTAATTATCTTTTCAGTAGGTACCTCCACTAATTTTTGATACCTAAAGTTTAAAATTAATTTTTATTCATGAAAAAGCTTTCATTTCAGCTTTAATTGAAAGCTAAGAGATAAATTTGCTATTTCCAGTAAACAAAATACTGTATTGTATTTCAAACAGAAATTATATTGATTGGAATCAATTTAAAATTTAAAAAAAAAAAAAAAAAATTTGTGAAACTTTATTTGAGGAATATTAGCGGATTTAAAATATAATTAATCTGATTTTAAAAAAAAAAAAAGTTTAAAATAAATGTATTTTTAAAACAAATCAGTAGCTGTGTTAACTGTCATTGCTGTTTTACGTAACTGACAATGCAATGACAGGTCATAATTATTGTTCTACAAAGTCTTTATCCGTAAAACAATTTAATAAAATGATGTGAGCGCCTTTATAATTTTTAAGTACTCAGTAACCTTAAAAAGGTTGGAAAATATTCTCCATAATCTAAATTTTAAGAATGTTGACTGTAAATTTACTGTATCAGAATAAAAGTGCAATGACTAATGTCATGCATGGTCAACCATACTTTCAAAAAGACACATTACATTTTATTTTTTTTATATACATTAAAAAGAATTTAAAATCTTGGTGCAAAATGATTTGTATTAAGCTTTCAATTTTTGATTAGTAAATATTTTTCACTTGATGACAATATCACCTAAACAGATGAAAGTAATGCAGAATTTTAAAAGATTTATGTTATAAATTATTATAAATAAATTTAAAAAAAAAATAAATAAATAAATTTTTTAAAAAATTCATTATTTATTGTAAGAAATTTTTTAAGACAAATGTCCTTAATAAATCTTGTTGATAAAAGCAATTAAAAAAGCTTTTCTAATTAAATAATATAGTTTTATTGCATTTTTTTATTTTAAGATTCAGAGCAGATTTTCAGGAAAGGAGTTGTAATTTTGAAAAAAAAAAAAAAAAAAAATTTACATTCTCCAAGGAGTCCTGCTTTTAACTAATCATCAAATTTTGAGATTGCAATTTTAATTTCTCAAAATTTCATGAAATTGGACACACATGTAAAAAAAAAAAAAAAATCCACAAATGAATTAAGTTATTTTGGAACAAGTCTTTAAAAGTTTCATTAAAATCCAACAATTATTAGATTTTTTTTGAAAGAATATCCAAATCAATGTTTTTCAACAGAAAAAAGCTGCTAAAACTAATCGTAAATTGACCTGCAGACAAAAAAAGAAAAAAGATTTTTTAACCAAAATTTCGAATGTGCTAGAAAGGATTAAAAAATTTAATAAAATACAAAAATACTTTTGTCTTTCCTCTTAATAATAAATGATCATTTTGATAAAACTTTTATTCAGTTTGGGGCCTTTTTTCATCATGCTATCATGTTTTTATTTTCAGCAAAAAAGTGGAGGTACCTACTTTTCAATGTGCTTTTCCTTTACAAATCTTAAGTTTCATGATCATGCTAAAAGATCATCTGCAAGGAAAGAAGGCAATGATTTATCACTTATTTTTTATCAAACGGTTCAATGTTTTTCGAAACAGACACAAAAATCTGCAGTTTCACTGGAAATAAAACAAATATTTGACAGCACCACAGAGAAGGACTTGGTCTGGGGAAATCTTTCTGTGAAGGGACATCATTCCTCATTTTTTTCACACTTATAACAAAAGCTAGATACAGGTCATCATTAGACTGCAAACTTTAACATTCTTTTTCTTTCAATATACTAAAATACATCAAAAGGCATATTTGTCTATTATCCTTTCTGTCTAACATTTTCTTTGAGTCAAATTTGATTGTCAAACTTGCTACTTTTGGCAACAATTTAGACAAACATTGACATGGGACATATAAAGCATCTATTTTTCAGTATGAACTCACCCACTGCTGACTAGAAATGAAAAGGACTTTTTAAATTGACATGTGAATAGGATTTCTTCAATTGCTCAAATTTATTAAAAAAAAAAAAAAATCCACTGATAAATATTTTTGAGATTCTCTTAATTACTGTAAAATAATTTATTTCCCCTTCAACTACAAATTCAATGAGTGTAAATTAATTTATCTTTGGAGATGTTTACTTGATGCTGGCACTGTTTTTTTTTGTTTTTTTTTCTTGTTGAGTGAGATTAGCGACTAGGAGAAGACATGCGTTCATATTCTTTCTTGTCACCTAGACGAGAAAATACAGAAGTAACTATAAGGTCATGAACTCATTCTAATCAAGGAAACAAACCACCGTCTGCAATAATTACCAAATATTACTGACAACTTAAAAAAAAAAAGAAAAAAAAAAGCATTTTCTTTAATTTTAGCTTGTAAGAAAAAACAGATTTTTGGGATTTGGCATTTTCACTTTCAGGAATTGAGAAAAGGAATGTGTGGGCAGTCCAATTTAGAAGATTCCAGGACTTTTCAAAGAGCTTTTGGGCTATTGCTGTTTTTCCAGGATTTTTCAAGCCCAGTCAATTTTCCAGGACTTTTCAAGGTTTCCAAGACCTGTACAAACTCTGCAGATGGTTCATTTAGCTCTGTAGCATTTTAAGTTTGCATTTCTCTGTGATGCAAGTGTTATAGCTCCATCAAGTGACCACCTTCCCTTGTGGCTTTCATATCTTGATGTATAAAGATTTATATTTCCATATATCTGTATCAGTACCATAAGCACAATGTAAGTTTTCATAGATGCTTAGTAAGCTGACAGTTTCGGTATGCTGAACAAACAGGTCATATTGTATGCTACTGTATGCTTACACTTGTTTGGAAATATAGACTACTTAACTTCCACTTAGAGTTAACACAAACACTAGGAATTAGCATTTCACAGGGTCTGGAAAATACACGTGTTTGTGTGTGCGTATGTGTGTGTGTGTGTTGATAGCAGGAAATATACGTTTCATGAGAATGTATAAGTGAAAGAGTTAATGAAAAGTCTCAAGAGAGACTTCATATTTTTCTCTAAAATGCTAAATATTCTAAAATTTGTGGTAATCATTTGATATAATAATTAGCTGTCTGCCGCAAACTAGTTTTCCAAGATTCTCACAGACTGAATATACAACAATCAAATTCCTAATTATGAAATATACTGAAAATATCTCAAAATACAGATTGTATCATTAAAATAGCAAAATATACAATATAAGTTATTAGTGGATAACATGGTACATGTTCAATAGAGAAAAACAAAACCCTGATTTGTTTTTTTCTTTCTTTTTAATTGATTCATTTGTGGCATCATATAGAAAAACCCTAATCATTTGTTTTTTAACAGTATTTTTTTAATTTTTTTAATCTTGAAAATTTTATTAATGATAATGACAGGTCATGTTATATGGATGAGATGAATGAAAATGACCATGAAAATAGCTGAAATGTTCTTGAGGGTAATAACTTCATTTACAACCAAGATTTAAGAACAAAAAAAAAATCTAAAAGATGATGTAAAGTAAAAGAAAGAAAATGGTAGGGAGAGGAAAAGAAAAAAGTGATTGAAGAGGTTAGAAGGCTGGGGTGGGTACAGAAGCTTAGTTTATGAGACTGAAATAGAGTTTGGATCACCGAGCAATGTTTGGAGGTATTCCTGGATAAAGTGCTGCTCCATAGCTATACTGAAGTGCCTGAGTTGAAGGCAATAATAGTTGATTTGCGCGAATTGCTCCAGGAAACAATGTATGGTAGTTTGGCAATGGAACATAGGCAGCAGTTATCAATTTTCCTGCAAATCAAAGAAAAAAAACATTACAAGTGTACAGCTTCAGCATGGTCATGAAAAATTTTCTAATTACAAATGTTTAATTTATGTTAAATTTATTTTTGTTTTACTAGCTTAAAAAATAATCAGCTAACTTATTTTCATTAAAAAAAAAAGAAAAAAAAGTTTACTGGTTGACTTACCTGCAAAGTAACGACCATGTAAAGCATTAACTGATGCCACAGCTGCAGCTATATTAGGACACTTCACATAAACATTGCCTTGAACTGAAGCTTTATCAACATAAATATGCACAACACCTCCGTGTTTATTGCATTCTTCAATAACATCATCTCGAATTTCTTGATCCCAATTAATTTTAGATTCTCTGGAAACAAAAATAACATCTTTGAATAAATAGAAATAATATAAACGAAAATACTATGGCCAGAGTCTAATTTAAAAACAAGTATAATTATTTCATAAAATGGAGGCTGAAAATATTTTACAATTTTTTTATTAGTAAATGTATGAAGTAATTTGGTAGAATGTTATTTTTCAATTACTGCAGTAAGAAAAAAAAATAAAAAGATACTAATGCTGAATTTTACAATTACTGAGACTACAAGGTTTTTTTAAATTTTTATTTAATACACAGACACTTCATGCTGTAAAATGATTTTTATAATTCATCATCAGTTCCATGACCAGGTGTAGCATCACTTATGATGAATTCAACAAAAATGTTAGATTTGGTATAAAAAGTGTGGTACCACTTTCCTCTGGAGCCTTAAAACAGTACTGTGCTGCTGGATAGTATAGATCAACTTCTTACCCATGTTATATCTATTCATTGTTACCGGCAATGACACACTGTTAAAAGCTAGAAGTCTGTGAAGACATGGTAGACGTTCTGTTGGTGCTGTGAATATTTTTCACGTTGAACTGAGATTGAATATCTGTTCTGTGGTGCTTCTTACAGTAAAATCCAGTCTGCTTTTAGGCAATGATTTCTTCAGCTTGTGACATTAGTGTGTTTAGAATGATATTCAACATCACTGTATGACTAACCAGAAAGGAGGGGGGTATTGTATAATCAGAAACTAAAACCTGCCATGCCATGTACACAGAAGTGAATCATCTTCATTTCCTTCATATTCCATGAGTAAGAAGTTCGTTCCCAAAAACTGTTACTTTGTGTAACAGAATCCTGAGAGGACATTTTTCCCTGATCACTACAATCTAATCCCTTCAAGTCTAGGGTTAACCATCTTTCGTATATATATATATTTATAAACTGCACTTCTTACTGTCCCCACCCCCTTATGCTCATAGGACAACATCATTTAGCAACCCTCTGCCTCATGTATGGGGAAATAATCATTATTTGAGGATTCTGAGACTACTAGGGTGTTTAGGTTTTCTTTGACAGAGCAGTTGTACAACTTGCAGTAGTACTCTCCATCTCTCAATGATGGTGTTTATTAATATTGTTTAAAAAGTATTGCAAGAATGGATACAGGTTGCTTTGATTTTATCTGGGAAATTATCACAAAATTAGTCATTTATATTACAGAGTGAATGGTAATGTGTTTCAGGTATGAAAAAAATTGTATTTTCTCCCCAATAAAAGTATATTAAGCTTCTAATAAATATTTACTTTAATATAAAGCAAATAAAGAACTACCTGAATTACCACAATACTCTAAGTTAACTATGTATTTGGTTCATATTTCTCAGCTTTAGATTCTAGTGCAGAATTTTGTTCAGTTGCAATAAAGGCTTTTGAAGGTATTCTTTTCCAATGTAACCCTATCTCATCAAGATTGAAAATAAGATCCTTTGTAAAATGGCTTGGAATTTGATATTAGCACTTGCTGCCTCCACAGTTATCTTAATGCTACAACATTACTGCAAACCAGTCCTTAATATCTGCAAAGGTTTCATCTCCATCTTTTTACCCTGCCTTGTCACAAATGGTGACTCAGTGGAGTATTTTCTGGTTAAGATTTTTTAACCAATGTTACCTTCTTTTGCTCTACTAATTTAAAAGAATAAATCACTTGTCACATTTTGGTAGCTTGCTTCATTGAACATTTGCACTGCATTCATAATTATTGTTACAGTCAATCAATGGAAGTAAACTCTGGTGCTTAACACCCTCCATTTGTTGATTTTCATTTTTTATCTTCTGAAGTTACAGATCAATACTTGAATTCACAAATTTCTTCTTTACTTCAAAATGGTAAAATACCTTATGAACAATACTTGGGAATACTAAGCAAACAAACATTGCTTATAATCACTATTAAATCACAAAATATCAATTGAAGTACCAAAATTCTCCTAATTAGTAAATAAATAACCACATTATTAGATATTGTAGCTGAAATAGCATTACCTAAAAAAAAAAAAAAAAAAAATTATTATATCCTATGTAAAAAAAAAAAAGCCGAATACCATCAGTGATAAAACTATAAACCATTGTTCTGAAATTTAAAATTTGGGCAAATTCCAAGCATAAAACTAAGAGAATCCATCCTTGATAGCCTGTCAATAATGACGAAAAAAAAAGGAGTACTTACGAAGAAGGATCAAACATGTTAGCCAGCATAAAACATTGGGTTGGAATTGGTGGTCCATTGGTTGCTTGAGCTGGCTGTCCTGCCCCAGCAGCAGAATTTGGTGGAGCTATTAATGCTGCTGCTGCTGCTGCTGCAGCAGCAGCAGCTGCATTTGCAGGTGCATTGGATGTTGGGGACTGTGTTGCTGGTGGTGCTGGAGGAGGAGGAGGTGGAGGAGGTGTAGAAGCATCTGATGACGAGTTAATGTTTAAAGCATTAGCTGCATACTGTGGAATCTGAAAGCCAGTTCCTGGAAACAAACATCAAGACAATCTTGTTATTACAATTATCTTCAAGAAAACAAAATAGAAATATTGAGCATTGAAAATTAGATCAACCAAATCATTACTAATTAAGAATTAATACTACATCCAAAATGGCAAAAAACTATTACTGAAAAGCTATTTAACTATCAACAAAGCATTATTTTACAAATATTCTAAGTTACATTGAAACAATTTTTTCAAGAGTTTAATAAACAAAAATCAATAAATATTATTTACAAAATATATTTAGTTCTCATCATTTTTATTGTGCCAAATGATAAATTCAGCCATAATATGTTAATTTGAAGTCATTAATGAATAATAAAAATATCAAAATTTCAACAAAGGAACTGTCACAGAAAACAAACCTATCAAAAACTGTTTTACTAAAAGTTAAAATCCACAAAAGTTTGTTTTTTTTCCTGTTTGTTTACAAAGCTGGGCTTGGACATACAATTTTCATCATATTCAAAGATTTAAAAACAATTTGTTTAAGCCATTAACATTTTATGCACATACTGAATACATAAATAAATTATGAGGAGATACTGAAAAGTTGTAAACCAAAAGTGTTTTAAAAAAAAAAAAAAGCATCTTGATTTTCTGTCTGAATTTCTGTAATGAGGAGTTATTCATTTGTAGACTATTGTTCTTATCTTTGTTATTATTTCAAACGAAAGTAGCACCAGCCTCTTGGTGGATGAATGAGTGTCGAATCTTTCCTTATAAGGAAAGAACTAATTTGACCATTGTGCCCTCTGGCCTTCATAAGGTACTTGTCCATCTGGGCAAACTTAGAGAATTTTAAAATAAACTCTTTATTTAAATCTATAGGAGTAGATTGTGATTGTCCTGCTGACAATGCCTACAGATATCGCTAGGAAATTATACTTTTTCTCTCAATTTTTGATTAAAATCTTGAAAAATCGTTAACAAACAACATATTTTCTGCTTATGATAAAAGTAAATCAGAAATGAAAGGGAGAATTTAAAAAAAAATGATAAACATGGAAAAGTCAGTCACAAAACAAGGCAGCTAATTGTAAATATCTTGATTTTTGATTGTGATTAGTTGGAATGTGCTAATACTTTTTATATAGAAAATGAATACTTAGATCACAATTCTTAATTAAAGCACAATAGAAGTTACTCTGAGCATGAAAATTAAGAACATTTCTGTGCAAAATTATTCAAGGTGATTTAGCCAAAATGTTTAAATAAAAATAAAGACATAATTTTCATAAAAGTTACAGTAAAATTTAACTGAATTGTTTTTGCATTTATGTAAAACATAACAGATTTCTCTCTCAGCTTTTCACTGACCAGACAAATAACCCTATGGTGTGTTTTCATACTTATTTGTGTATGCACAAAAACTGGCCAAGGTTCATTGTACATTCACAAGAAAACAAAAGGTAAAAAACACCAGTGACAAAAAGAAGAAAAAAAAAATACAAGTCCTCTTTCCCATATATTCAACTGTTTGCATTGTCTGGGTGGGTTAGGTAAATGACACTCGAAACGAATTCTGCGACAACAGACTAATGTTTCTTTTTAAGAAAGAACATCATGCACCAGATATAAGTAACTAATTGCATTAGGGAATAGCAAAAGGAAGGCAATAGAAAAGAATGAGGAGAGCCAAACTTGACAAAGCTGTAGTAGCAACAGATAAAGTAAGAACATTAGGTATAGATTAATGTGGTTTATTATGATTGCATGCTCAGATTCAATATCAAAACCTGAACAATGACTGGAGAATAATCTATTCTAAAAAAAAAAAAAAAAAAAAAAAAATTGAATAAAGGATTCAGTTTGAAATTCCAATCTGAAGGCCGGAAGAGGCACAATGGCTGAAATGTTGTGATCATAACAAAACTGAGGATATTAGTTTGACTGTAAATAATAAATGAAGCTTGATTATACTTGCCTTCTGCCAGTTTTGCCATAAGTTGAAGTCTTCCAGTTGCTCCAAGGTCAATCCCAGCTCTATCCATTTCATCACTGTCTAGTATTGATACAACTTGATTGTCTGCTGTTCGTTCAGTTACATGTCCAACTTTCATTGGCCTTCCTGCCAATTCAAACCCGTTAAGTTGTTCCAGTGCCTTTTTAGCATCTTCAGAATCATGGAACTAAAAAAAAAAAAAAATAAAAAATAAACAAATTAAAGCAAAACAAAGCAATAGTTCAATGTAAGAGAAAGAAAAATAATTTTTAAATTTTTAACAAATTTCACACATTTCAATACAAACTTATAATCAAAGAATATGTGAAATATTTTTCGCACAAAAATATAATGTACATACAACAAATCAAAGTACTGAACAATATATTCTTGCAAGATATTTATGTAAAATTAATAACAAAAAACAAATACATCCTTGAATTCATGGTTTTTTTACAATCAAAATTTAAACATTGCAGTAACTTATTTGAAGAAACTAATGAATACTAAAATTTTAAAATATATAATATAAAAATGAAATTAGCACATGAAATTAATATACAAATGGACACTTACTGTGATGAACCCATATCCCTGAAGTCTGCCAGATTCATGATCTTTAATCAATTTTATATCATCAATCTAGAAAAGAAATGTACATTTAATGTTCCATATTTTGATTACATAAATTTTTAAAATATTTGAACTGTCAGCTTAGCATTTTTCAGAATGTCCAAGAGAATTTATACAAAACAATAATTCATAGTTATTGGTTAATTCTTTTTTTTTTTTTTTTAATTTTAAATTATCTGAAGTTAAAAAATTTTTTTTAGCATCTTACCTTTCCAAATGGCTCAAAAATTCCACGCAGCATTTCCTCAGTTATATTGAAGTGCAAAGATCCAACATATAATCGCATTGGACCAGAATTTCCCTTCTGCAAAGTAGCTGTGGCATTAGCTGCTCTGTTCTTTTCTGCTTGGGAAGGCTGCACCATAATTGGCACACCCAGTAAACGTTGACCAGTTAATGCCAGAGCTTTATTTACACATTCGACATCAACAAATTCAACATATGCAATGCCTTTAGATCTGCGAGTTTTATTGTCTGTAATTAATCTAACATCACGAACCTAAAAATAAACCAAACATTAGGATTAAGATACAGTAAGAATATTTTTCTTAAAAGACAAATAAGAACTGAATTACAAGCTTTAATTTTATTTAAAAGGTTTGAGGCATCATTCTACTTAAATAGGGATTAAAGCAAACCATTATTTTTGAGAAACTATAACAACCCCCCCCCCAAAAAAAAAAACAATGAATTGTGTAAGTTTTAATCAGGAAAACAAAAACCCTGCAAATCTTGGCTACCTTTCCAACAGAGGAGAAAAATTCTTCCAAATCACGTGGCCGAATTCTTGCAGACAGCTGCATACAAAAAATTGTCCGAGCATCACGTTCTTCAGGAGAGAGTTCAGGACCTGGTTCCCTGCAAGAAAAATGCACAAAATGTTTTTTTTTTGTTGCATAAATAGATAATAAACAGTATACAGTTTAATATGCTTCAAAATATCACAAAAATGACAGGAATAATATCCAGGTTTTATTTAATACTTGCTGATGATTAAAAAGTTTGACATTTACCGAACAAACTCATATGATCGCATCGGACTTCGACTGAGACTGCGCCTATAAGGCTTTTCACCACGTCTGTTTCTGTAAGGGGATCGACTCCTGCTACGCTTTCCTCCATATCTCTCTTTGCTTCTGCTTCGCCTATCTCGACTTCGACTTCGGCTGCGTCTTCTATCACGATCTCTGCTACGGCGCCTGTCTTTGCTACGACTTCGTCTTTTGTCCCTATCACGTCGACTACGTCGGTCAGGACTTCTGGCAAGACAAAAAAAAAGTATAAAATGATAACCAATTTGTTTGGACATGCATCATTTATATGCTTATTTCTCTATGCCCTACATTCAATAATTAAATAATTACAAATTCCCAAAATTAAGAACGCCATTTCCATTCACATCAGAAATACAATGCGTGACATCCAACAATCTTTATAAGTACACCAGTGAATCCTTTGAAAAAAATATCAAGTAGGTTTTATTCTCTAAGTAAACATTTCAGTAAAAGTTTTAAAGTTAAATTAAAATGTTATTCTTAAATTATCATTAAAGGATATAACGAAGACAAAGGATTAAAATTCAGTTGCAAAGTTACCTTCTACGGTCACGGCTTCTGCTTCTACTGCGATCTCTACTTCTGCTTCTTTTTCTGGAAAAATTTCACAAAAACAAAAATAAATTTAGAAAAATTAAAAAAAAAAAAAAAAAAAAAAAAAAAAAAAAGTAAAATCCATGTATACAAATTAAAATACTGAAGTGCATTTGCCACAAAAGCTGTAAAAATATATCAATATCAGTTATTTGAGGAAATGTTCAATTTATAAAGATAATAGGATGCCAAACTAAAAATACATCCATTCTCCAAAGAAAACAAGTAAAAACTTTAGTTCTCAAGCTTTAAAAACTATTCTAATTCCATTATTTACACTAATATTTCTGGTTCTATATAAAGAAATGTTAGATATTTTTATACTTGCAAATTTCTTTATAAAACAGACTTCTAAGGCACTTGAATTGCCATTTAACTAAATTTCATTTTTTTCAAGATTCCATAAAATTTTTTTATATCAATATTGCATTCTACAACCTCAAAGAATCAAAAACTCACTTCAAGAAAGAATCACGGAAATTTTTTTTTTTTTACAGAAAAATACATATTGAATGACCACCCACCAGAAAATCTTTGTTGTTGATAATAAAGCTGACTCAAGAAAAACCTATTCACCAAAAATAAAGTTGAAACAGTGGGGGGGGGGGGGATTCCTTACCAAATATATTTCAAAAGTATTGTTATCAATGTTACTTTAACAGAAACAGCAGCAAAAGTAGGAAGATTCCAATAAGCATCAAGTGACACATAACACTCATTTAACCAGGCTAAAATTTAACCTCATTCTCAATGGTGCTGTATAGCTAAGTAAATTTTTTTTAGTTTACAGTTGTTAATTTTCACATTTTATAGTATAAAGCATTCACTCACTATCTGGTCAAATATGGATAGAGTAAAAATATTATCTGTAGAAATTTCAAAGCAAGTATAAAGCCAATATTTTTTTTAAAGTGAGGAATAAAGATAAAAACATTCAGAAATATTTATTTTCAAATGGTACATTAAAGATGAAGCATTGATATTGAGTGAAGAGTTTGTTTTTTTTTTTTTTTTTTTTTTTTTTCATTTTCAACATTAATTTTACTGAACCATATATTTACAATTTTTCTCCACTAACTTCTGCCATCTTTTAGACAATTTCAGAATTACATCTTTTTCAGCAAAGATCTACTATAGATATCTTTTGCAGTCTTTAAGTGAATTAAAAAAAATTTTTTTTTTTTTTTGAAAGAATTCCATAAAAACCAGAATAAATGATAATTCAAGTGGGCAATACAATTTGTCTTAATTTTGAATGTATGTTTTTTTATTATTATTATTATTAGTGCTTTCTCTGCCTTTAATTGATAGAATCAAAAGTAGAAGTTTAAATAAATCACTTCATTCTCCAGAAGACATTCACAATAAAGGAGTCCTTCTCAATTCCACCATATACATAACTTATCACAACCTTTGGTACAGTTCATTGCTCATTTCACTCACATTATAAAGTATCCACATTTAATTACCCATCACATTGTTTCAAACAGGGGATATTTTCCATTATATTTGAGGAGCAAATGGTACACAACATGGTTCAGTTGTAGTTTTTTTGTTTTTTTTTAATAAAACTTATATGGAAGCTACACCACAGATCAACATAGCTAATCTGGTACAAATAATTTTCAATGCTTGATTTGAATATTTTCACTATGCCAGTCACCTCCTGTAGCTAATAAGGATTAGTCTCAAAGTATGCCTTAATTTGATTGCTAGAAACCTCAACAGATTTATCCTAGCCTGGAGAATCATTTAACAAGAAATCTCGAGCACAAATTTTCACAAACCACTTCTAAAACAATGATTCTCCATAAACTGCAGAAATCATTTTTTAGTCACATTTTTATCTTTCCTAAAAAGGGATAAATCAAAAAAGTTGCTTATTTTATTCCACCTTCAAAGTTAGAACCAACAAAAAGACAGTTTTGACAATATTTATAAAAATACACACTGGTATGACAGCTGTTGTAATACAATCAAAAGTGATCTTTTTGAATGTAGTTAAAAGTAAATGCTACTAATATTAGACAGTTTTTTAACCTAATACATTATTACTTTCATCAATATTTCTATTATAGAATTATACTGCTTTTTATTTATTTTTACAGTGTTGTCTCTTAACTTAAAAACAATATTTAAATGTTAATAACTATTGTACTATAAACATTAGTAGTTATAAATACAATAAAAATAGAAAGTAAAAGCCAGCAGTGGCTTATACAATTGAGTTTTATCTTCAAAAGCAACACAAAGAGCTAAGAACTTAGAGATAGAATGTTATATTGGAAAAACAAGTTCAAGAAGAGCATTATAAAAGTAATGTACGCAGATAAGAATTTGAACAGGTTGATTTACATCTAAATATCATCACTCTATACAAGTTATAATACTACATGAAATTAAGAGATAAATACTTTGGCATTGATGATAAAATCTTAATTTTTTTTTTCTTTACTTATAGCTAAATGTTAAATACAAATTATCAGTATAAAATTTGAAGTATTATAAATGTCTATTTTTGAATCTTTAGTTTAAAGATTCAGAATTAATCTTGAACATGAATTTAGGCATTTAATTTTTTTTAAAAATAGATTAGTGTTCAAATCACTAAAAAGAATTTTATGAACATTAATTAAACAACCTGTTTAAGTAAACTTTATTTCTAGATTTGTTTTTATAAAAAGAAATATGCTAAATAAATAAATTTAGAATGACTCTGAAATTAGTCATTTACATCCAAAATTAAATTCCTATAAGAAATATAAAGACTAAACAATGTTAAACAAATAGACCAAAATAAGCACAAAATGTGAATAGGTTAAATAAATAAGTCCTTTGAACTTTTTCATTTGTTAACTCAGCATTAACATATACAAGACAACATTTAAGCTAAATATTTTGATACAAAATTCAGTTAGTGAAAGAAAATCTTTAAGTACTTATAATAAATATTTACATTAATAACCAAACTAATATTTAGTAACTGAATATGAGTAATGTAATTTATATTTATCATTTGGCTGAAAGTACTATAGTTTCATATGCATTATACAAGAAAATGTTTTGCCGAACTAATTGTTACTCACTGATGTCATTAAATGATAAACAAAAATACTTTTTTTTTAGTATATTCTGACATCATTTTTAGTCACAACAGTTATTAAACAATTGCAATATTTGTAAGCTTGCTGTGAAATATACAAGTCAATTTAATGTCTAAGTGATTTTTTTTAATAACAAACTGTACTTATTTATCTAGAATCATGTTTATATATAACATCAAAACCAAAAAGATATAAAAGAGTTCTTTGAAATCCAAAGGGCATTAGCTTTAAATGCTAGATGAATTCTGAATATCATTGAATAGTGAAGAGCTGGTGCACAGCTTCCTTTACATATTTTTAACCATTGTACATATAATAGCTCTATGCTACTTATTGAATATACTCTTTGATTTTCAATATAACATGAATGTTACTCAAGATTTCAGTCAAATATTGCAAGATGTAAACCAAATTTCACTTAGGTGCTACTCTGGTGACCAACATTCAACCTACTGAACTAAACAAACATTTGCCAAGAGTGGGCTGCTTTTACTAAAATACATTCTAGGTACACCTCTGAAGTTAAAATTTGCCTACACTTTCTAGAAAAAGATAAATATTAAATGATTGCCTTTTTGAATACATATTGTTTGTTGATGAGCTAAATAACTATTGAAATTTTTAATATCTGCTTACATCCTATGAATGTTTTTAATATTTGCTATTATTATATGAGTGTGTGCTTAAAAGTTCTTGACTCACAAGAGACTCTTCAAAAGAAACAAGACAAAATATATCAGATTATGGGAAAAAAAGTAAGCTCCATCACATGTAATCTTCAAATTTAACCAAATGAATGATTTTCCAATAATTTTCATAGGCAATAAAGTGAAAATTTGTTACAGTACTAAAATAGGACTATAAACAAAAACAGTTAAAATTTAGCAGCATACAGGAAATATGCACAAAATATTTCTCTTAAAATGAAAACAGCATTTGTAAGTTCATTAAAAATATTAACTTTCCATGTTGAAAAAATACAGCCATATCATTTTGTTTTTACATAAGAATTAAGTTTTCCAATCAAAAATTAAGCGAATTAAGTAGGAAACTATAATATTCAAGCTGAATACAGCATTTCTTAAACATTTTTATAACATAAATATGATAATTGTTTTTTCAAAATGTTTAAACTAAAAAAATAAAACTTTATAGTTTCAAATTTATTTTTATAAATTTTGAAAAATCACATTTGAGCTTTTTATCAACTAAAAGAAATAAAATGTGCTAAAAAGTTCTCAGTCCTACCAGGAAGACGAGAATGATGTTTGATCATTTGGTCAGACTAATCCTTTTCAGTAATCCTTATAATTCCCCCATATATGAAATGGTACACTGAACAAAAAGAACAAAAACTTGGCTGCCTTCATGATAAATATTCTTAAATATCCAAGTCTAAAAACTGATCATTTATTTTTCCATTTCATGATCCATAGCTTTGAACTTGTAAACTTTTTAATAAATACACAATGATGCTTGTTTATAAATAAGACTATAATAATTTCACAAAAAAATCTATCTCATAAAGTTACTTTGTTTTGACTTAATAAAATCATAAATATTAAATAATTAACTTTATATACTTTCTGAAATGACAAGTATGTTTAATTAAAAAAATACAGAAAAGTGTATAATTCTTTGCATTAAAGTTGGAAGCAATATCTTTGACTTTAGTAAGAAATTTCTGTATTAAAAATGATCATTTTAAAATAACCTCAAATGCAAGCTGGAAAATTATCAAGAGAAAAATATTCCCACTTTAATATAAATTATAACTCCATATTTTCAATCTTTATGCTGTTTGCTATCAGCAAGAATTAAACTTGACAAAATGGATACCAAGTTTGATATATTTTTTAACAACCAAGTACATATGTTTTTATTTTAATTGGCTAT